TCTCTCTATTCTCTGTCTCTTTCTCTCTATTCTCTATCTCTCTCTCTTTCTACGTCCTGTCTATCTCTCTTTCTATCTGTCCGTTTTCCCACTGTTTCTCTCTCTCCGTTTCTTTCTATTTTATCTCTGCCTCACTCTTTGTCTCTCTCTCTATATATGAATATATATATATCTCCTTTTTACTCTCTCTCTCCTTTTTACTCTCTCTCTATATATTTCTCTCCTTTTTTACTTTCTCTCTCCTTTTTACTCTCTCCCTATATATTTCTCTCCTTTTTTACTGTCAATCTTTCCTTTTTACTCTCTCTCTCTATATATAAACATATATATCTCCTTTTTTACTTTCTCTCCTTTTTACTCTCTCTCTCTATATATAAACATATATATCTCCTTTTTTACTTTCTCTCCTTTTTACTCTCTCTCTCTATATATATAAACATATATATCTCCTTTTTTACTTTCTCTCCTTTTTACTCTCTCTCTCTCTCTATATATATAAACGTATATATCTCCTTTTTTACTTTCTCTCCTTTTTATTCTCTCTCTCTCTCTCTCTCTATATATATATATAAACATATATATCTCCTTTTTTACTTTCTCTCCTTTTTACTCTCTCTCTCTCTATATATTTCTCTCTCCTTTATTACTTTCTCTCTCTCTCTCTCCCATATATATATATATAAAAAAACATACATATATCTTTCTCTCTCCTTTTTTTTTAACTTTCTCTCTCTCTCTCTCTGTGTCTCTGTCGCGCTGTTGACTTTTCCGTCTCTCTGGTCCCGCACCAAGTGACGACGATCAGATTACGGCCACAACTCGGACGGACGGACCCAACCGCCGGCCTCGCCTCGACTCGCCCGCGACAGCGCCGCCCGCTGGCACCAGGTGGCCAAAGCACCCACCAGCCCTCTCCTCCCAAGGACGACCCAGTGAGAGAGTGGGTCACTGAATCTTACCCAATCTTACGCCTAAAGTTGCTGCTCACTGGCTAAAAGCAATGGAGGCACAAGGGGAACCACTCCGAGGCATTATGTCGGAAAAAGAAAAATTGCGCTCCTTAATAATGATAACGATCCTCGCATTTGATATAGCGCTTTTCGCGTCGGGAGGACGTCCCAAAGCGCTTCACAGAACGCACTGTAAAGTGAATTGACTGTATGTTTGTGGGCGAACGCGGCAGCCAATTGCGCACAGCGACGTCCCGCAAACAGTCGTGGATTGAAAATGACCAATTTTTTATTATTGTTTTTGGTTTTTGGAGGGATTATTATTCGGCTCTGTGTGGAGTAAGGAAACTTGACCAAGGTTTCGCCCTGACCTGCTGGAATTGAACCCAGGTCTCTCACTTGCAAAGCGAGTGCTCTAACCACTGAGCTACAGGACATCCTTCAATCCTGGGCTGTTTGTTGGACACTGCGGTGCGCCGTCGGCTGCCACGTTTCGCCCGCGACAAACAGAGCCCGTGAAGTGCTTTGACATGACTCGACGACGTGACGATAATAATGATAATAATGATAATCCTTGCACTTGATGTAGCGCCTTCTGACGTCGTTGAGACATCTCAAGTGATAAGGCGCTGTATCAAATGCAAGGATTCTTCCTCTTCTTATAGGTTGTAGAAAGTCTTAAATGAAGAAGATTTATAGGGGCTCCAGCAACCTCTCCTCTCCTTTGAGTGTCCCCATCGCCAGTCAATCCTGAAGATATTTTAATTCACGCAATCAGCCAAACGTGAGGCAGACTTTTACTAGAAACTCACCCGTCCAAGTTGGCTCTTCTCCTTCTGCAACACTGGCATCTGGAAAAATGCACAGATACTATCCTTTTTAGGTGTAGGGATGGGGGGAGGCGGCAAGTGAGATCTCCTTGGAGCTGAACTGGCCCCAAGGTGATATGTTTGACAATGGAATATGAGTATCGAGCAAGTCCGCTGTGGAAGTCTCAGTAGTCCAGTTCTTGAGCTAGGCGAGTCCACAGTACCCCAGGGCACTGCTGATGACAGCCTAGCGTGGCTCATTAACAGGTCTTAGAAAGGCAGACCAGATCACTGGAGTCAGGAACTTGTCCCACTCAGCCCCCGTTAACCCCGCAAGCTAAAGCCCTAATAACCATGGTGGCCCTAGTTGGACAAGTCGTGGGAAAGGCTTGCCAGACAGTGTTTTCAATGGCAAGTTATGCGGTTTTAACTGGTTAGACTCCAGCAGGACCCCAGGACACACTCTGGGGTCCCCAAGCCAACCTGCAACTAATACTCTCTGGAATTAGGTAAGCAGCATGCATCCCTCCAGGGAGAGAGTGCGCATTCCTTTCCAATAAATAACTGTGGAGTTTCCATGGATAGGTGGGATGCATGGAACTCAGTTTGGTTTCTGCAAGTGTCAGATATTCGGATGAACCCCAAAAATTGCACAGATCAAAATTCCCTTCACAGATTCCCTTTGCGTAATGCCTGAAATATCTACAAATGTTTAATTTTTAGTATTTCTTTGCCTGATGTTGGATTTTTCTTATTCATATTAGCTCTTAGATTGCTAGTTGGGTCAAATGCCCTGTTTTGGTGCTGTCACATTCTATAATAATAATAATAATGATAATAATCCTTGCATTTGATAAGGCACCTTATCGCGTCTTCAAGATGTGCCTGACCAGGACGACCTTCTTCCACCTTCACAATATTGCCTGCCTCCGACCATACCTTACCCCAAATGCAGCCGAAACCCTTGTGCATGAGTTCGTCACCTCCCTCTTGGATTACTCCAATGCACTACTCGCCAGTCTCCCTATATCTACCATTCAAAAGATACAGCTCATTCAAAACTCTGCCGCCCACACACTGACCCGGACCAAACTCCATACCCACATCTCACCAGTTCTGGCCAGACTCCACTAGCTCCCATCACCAAATGGATTGACTTCAAGATCTTCACACTTGTGTTCAAATCCATTAATTCCCTGGCACCTCCCTACCTCTCCGACCTCCTCACTCCCCAATCCACCACCTGGTGCTTCCGCTAGACTGGCACCGGCCTCCTGCTCGTCCCTCACACCCTCCACTCCACCATCGGAGGTTGCACTTTCAGCCACTATGCCCCAAAACTCTGGAACACTCTCCCTCAACCCCTCTGCCTTGCCCCTTTTCTTCCCTCATTGAAGGCCCGTCTGAAAACTTTCCTCTTCGACCGTGCTTACGGCCACCACCCCCTTCCCCCCAACTCGGAGTCAGGCTCCACCACTGTTATGTGCTCTGAGATGCTATTTTTGGGGTGAAACCCGACAGCCAATTGCATATAGTAGTGTCCCACAAACAGTTGTGGATTGACCAAATTATTATATTTTTTATTAATATTATTTATTTATTTTTTGAAGGGATTATTACATCTGGGAAAGTGTTCCGCCAATCAACTAACAACCAGGTTCCTAGTTACTGTTAGGTGAACAGAGATGTGTGGAGTAAGGCAACTCTATATAATTCTATGCTCAACGGAAGCCTCTATTGTTCAACTGATCATAGAATCATAGAATCATACAGCACAGAAAGAGGCCATTCGGCCCATCGCGTCTGCACCGGCTCCTAAAAGAGCAATCCCATTGGCCCGCTTTCTCTCCATTGCCCTGCAATCCTGTCCCCCCAAAATACCCATCTACTTCTCTCTTAAAAGTAAAACGAGATGTAATATCATTAAATAAAACGTCCCACAGCTCAAGAGCTGTATTCAAAAAAGAGTGTCTGTGCAGAGGGAGAACAATTCTGTTTTCACATAGCTATCACAATTATCTGGATTTTTCTTTGTCATTGTTATAATTGTGTGTCAGCCTGACTCAGTCGGTAGCACTCTTGCCTGAGTCAGAAGGTTGTGTATTTAAGCCCCACGTTGTGAGTTGGAAAACAAATAGTCTATGCTGATACTCCAATGTAGTCCTGGTGGCATGCTGCATTGTTGGAAGTGCTGTCCTTTGGATGGAATGTTAAACCGAGGCTCCTTATGCTTGTCCAGATAGATGTTAAAACTCTATAAATCTGTGGGATTTAAACATCCAACAAAGTTTGGTTTGTATTGGTAGTTTGCGTTGTGAATTGCAATATCATTCTGTATATGAAGATCTCATACTGAAACAACAATGCCAGTTCTACACAGTAAATGTTTATTAGAATACATAAAAATATAACACAATGTAAAGATATCGTTGATGCAGAGTTTGCAATACGAAAGAATATTTTGATTGTGTGCTACAAAGCTCTAATATTATCCAACGCTTTTAATCTTTTGGGGATGTGGGAGTGCCAGGTGCAGATTAAAGAGGCAGAACTCAATGGAATGAGAGAGATGCTGCCATTTTATAAAAGGAGATTACGGATTAACTCAAAATTATTCATCTATGTGGATGCAGCTATGAAGAGCATTAGTACACTGAGTACAAAGACATGTTATACATGTACAGGACAGTTTAAAAAGATTATGATTTGACTTGATCTCTCCAGTGTTTCGAGAGCGCAGAATTATAATGTTATTATTACAATGCAAGTATGAACATGAATACAGGTGGTGTTGTCATCACTGTATTGAGTAATAGCCAGTAAATAGAAATGCCAATTACTTGTTTTTTTTAAAAAAGAACAATAACATTCAACGTTTAGGGAAAAAGAAACACAGGAGCACAAATTCCGTTTATTTTAAATATAAATCCAGTACTTCTTTTGTTTCAGAATTTTTAAAAATATTTTGTAGCAAGAGTGGCAAAAATATGTCAACACTGACAAAAATGTGTTTCAATTTAATTCATTTGTAAATCCTCCCCTGCAAATGGTCCCCATCTCACCAATGGCCAAATTAAAATAAACCAAATACATCTTTAGGACAAAGTTTGGTTTATGTTGGTGGTAAAGCAGAAACAATATGACCTCAATGCATCATATGTACTATTAGAAAGCACTATTAGAAGCCTGATTATTTTGTGCAATATCTCCAGTGTGGAAGGGAAGCCGTTTGTTTCCTTTCTTATTGTTTTTCCAATTTACTTGAATTGGACTTATTCTGAAATCTTTTAAACAGGAGCGCAATGGCAACAATCATAGCAATACATATCAAAGCAAGGATTACAATTCCGATGCCCAGACCAGTGTATCCATCCAATAAGTATTGAGAGGTTAAGGCTGACGGTCCTGGAGAGTAGAACAAAGTGAAAATACATTAATCCATGTGAAAGAAGTCTAGCTTTCTTGTAATAAAAGTAACACTGCCTCTTCCCTGAACCATTATATAGTGATCTTCCACACAACAACAGTGAATATTATATACCGGTTTATGGTTTTATTATTTATTTACAGATTGGCATCTCTTTTTCAACTGAGTTATTAATTTAGATCCTGGATGCTTAGTGAGTTCAGGCAGAATAAATGTAACCCACCTCATCCCCAACTCTGTTTCACAGAAAAGTGGCTTATATTCCACCCGCATCTAAATTGACCCCACAAATTCTAATTCATTGACTACTCATCTCCTTTCTAAGACTTTACTGCTCCAAATTATCTGCCTCATTTGCCTCCATAATATCCTCCTAATCTCATTGTGTAAAGCATTTTAAGACATTTATTTTATGAGAAAGGTGTGACGTAAATTTAAGATTTATTGTTACAGACATGAGAAATGAGATGAAAAATTAAAATGAACTGAATTTGCCAAGTTTGGAAATATTTGCAGTGATGGAAAATGTGGGTTAATTCAGATCACATAAGGTTGGCAGTAATTGTAAAGTGTCCATACATTATCATTGCGATGATTATTATTACAGTAGTTTCTCATAATGGCCCCAAAATAAATCCCAGATGTTTGCGCAAGCTAGGAGTTGAGCCTGCGTAGATATCCTTTGCTATGTTTGAAAGTCTCCATCCCAGCTATTTTTTTTTTGGTCAGCCAGGTGTCTGACACATGTGGAAACCCATCGCTATGCTTAAGAGTGTCCAAACTAAACTGAGAGTTCCATACATCCCACCTATACAGGAAAATTCTAGAGATAGATTGTTGGAATGGAAAGTGGACTTTCTCCCTGGAGGGACATATCAACAACAACAACAACTTTCAGTGGGAGAGGCACATTGCAACCTGACTTTTGATTTCATAGTCCTAAAACATACAACAACAACTTGCATTCATATAACGCCCATCATGTGGGGTAGCGTCCCGGAGTGCTTGATAGTGGCGGAGTCTCACACCAAGCCAGGGGGAGAGGGAAGGGGGAAGTGACCATAAGCACAATCAAAAAGGAAGGTCTTTAGGCACAATTTGATAATGGTGAAGGAGGGGTCAAGGCAGAGGGAGTGAGGGAAAGTTCCAGAGTTCAGGGGCATAATGGTGGAAGGCATGCCAACTGATGGTGGAGCGGAGGGCACGAGGGACAAACCAGAGCCTGGAGCCAGCCGAGCAGAGGCAGCAGGTGGTGGAGTGGGGGGGTAGGTAAGCAAATCAGATAGGTAGGGAGGTGTGAGGACATGTAGGAATTTAAAAGTGTGTGAGAGGATCTTGAAATCGATCCGTTGGTTAATTGGGAGTGGTGAGATGGGGGTACGGAGTTTTGTGTGGGTGGGTATCCAGGTGGCTGAGTTTTGAATTAATTTAATTTTGTGTATCATGGAGCTGGGGAGACCAGCGAGGAGGGCATTAGAATAGTGCAGCCGGGAAGCGACGAAGGCATGGACAAGGGTTTCAGCTGCATTGGTTACTGCTTACCTAATTCTGGAAAGTATTAGGCACAGGTTGGCAAGAGCCAAGGCTTGGGGACCTCAGAGTGAGTGTTGGGGGTACTGCTAGAGTCTAACCAGCTAAAACTGTATAGCTCCTGAGAGCTCACAGAAGCAGAATAACTGTTTGTTCTGGAATGCACAGTCTCTTTCCTCAAGTGTAAATTCTAGTCTGCTTGCTTTAGTGTTACGCCGAAGGTGACATATGACATTTAAAAAAACATTTGTGGCAATAGTGGTCCTTTACCTGATTCATAATTTTCTTTCACAACTGTGGGTACAAGAGCAGGAACAAAAATCATTATTTAGTAGATATTAATGCATCATCCCTGAACCACATTAACATTTCAAATAATTGCTTTTGACAAGTTCCAAAATAATGGCAAATCTGTCACTATTACTGAACAGCCTAATCGGTAGATTCAGAATTAAATCACGAAACTTCACCCAGTGAAATGGAAGAGATGAGAGTTGTTGGGCTAACTCTATGGCAGATGATATATTATATGTGATCTCTGCCACAGCTATTTATAATACAAAATAAAAGAGATAAAAGAGAAGGCACAAAATAAAAGGTGTAAATTCTCTACATTTTTAGAGGTGTAGTCAGATAGAATGGGTTGAGTACAGCATACTGAATGAGCTATACAGTGACAGATGACCAGCCAGGTTATGCTTGAATTCAGCTGAATCTGCACTGGTGCTCCAAATTGCAACATGCTTCCATTAGCATCCGTTTAGTGTACTTACATTGGTTTAAATATATTGTACTTTAGAGGTCATAACTGAACAAATGTTTGGTGATGATCCATCCCCTGAAGTGTGGTAGAAGCTTGGTATGTATTGTGAAAGGTGGGGGGAGCCCCATTGTAGCCCCACATCTAGTGCTGCACTAGACTCTACTCCAGTGCAGCACTAGATGTATCCACATGTTTTTAATTGATTCCCAAGATAGGTTTGGATAAAAGTTCACTTGGCCATTTGATCCCATCCTTCCAGAATACAAAGCTGACTGCCTTCCGGCTACACAGTGCTGTCACACTGTTTTATAAATGAGTCCAATGACTTTGCTTCAAACATCCAACCTGATAATCCATCTGTTGATTACCTTTGTGTCAAGAATATGGGTTGTAACTGTCTTTCATAGTCTTGAACCTATGATCTCTTTTGGCTTATCTGAAAGTATTGCTCTGTTTTTACTTTCTCTATCTCATTAAGCATCTTATAAAAGGTTATCTCTGAAAGGTTATCTCTACGATGTTGCCTTTTGAGACTGAAGAGAACCTGGATTATCAAATTGTTACTCATGGCTTAATTCTGTATAACTGCGTATCATCCTCAATTCTCTTTCCAACACTGCCTTGGCATCTAGACAGCTGTCTTGTGTTGCATACTGCAAGTGTGAACTGACCAGAGGAATTTTACAGCTTCTGGAAGACATTCTGGGGAACCTGAACTCAACTGAGCTGACAATTAAGCTACTTCAATATGTTATGCCCACAAACTATACAGTCAATTCACTTCACAGTACATTCTGAGAGACATCTCGAAGATGTGATATGACGCTATATCAAATGGAAAGATTATTATTATTACCTCTCCTAGTCCTTTAAGTATATCACACTGTATCACAGGTTTATTTTATTACGTAATTCTATTTTGATTATTCCTACATTTCACTTGCACATTCCTTTGAATCCAATTGAAAAATACTCACCATTATCAGTCATGGTACTGATGAGAGGTGAGGTGATAGTGACAGGGTCAGATGCTTCACTGGGTCCCGGAGTTGTATAAAGGTCTCTTGCCTGCCTTTTTCGCCTTTTGCATTTCTGAAGATTGAGGAGAAGGAAAAAGAAGTGATGTACATTGAATTATTCTGTGACGGAATTGCAAAAGACCAGCTAATTTAAGAATTAGAAAAGGAAAATCAAAATGGGTATTTTCAATACTTACACTGAAGGTACTACAAGCCGACTTTTCACAGAGACGTGTGATGCAGTGCAGATAGTAAGTGGAAGTGGGCAGGTTTCTGTGCTCAGTGAAGCGGAATGCTTCAAAATAAAACCTTGCAAACTGATTCTCCCCGTTGGAGATGATGTTGGTTTGCTGGTCTTTAGTACACCTACAGAGTGAGATGGTTTAAAGAGATGAACATTTTAGCCAGATTGTCAACACCAAGTTATAGTTATCTTTTGGAGATGTAAGTATAATTTTCAATTCATTTCTAATGGCTCCAGATTGTTGTAGGTACCCTCTATGGTAAGCTTATCTTTGGCCTGCTATTAGTGAGGTGTGAGTATGAATACCAAACTGGCAGCATCCTTGTACTATCCAGAAATAGTCAGTAAAGCAGGAGTGTGCCAGCAATTTCAATTACCAATTTCCAAATTTACCTTACAACTCCCATTTAGAAACTGACCTTGACTCCAATTTGGTAATGAACATGAAAATTATTGGAGACGGACATATGGTTGTCAACGAGTTAGTTCCAGTGACTGCATTGATTTCTTCTTTCATGCCCTCCTTCCACATGAAGGGTTGACATTGTAATATTTCTTAACAGATATTAACAGATTTTTAAATGTTCAATTCATCTCAATTAAAAAAAAAGTTAGATTTTAGGATTGGTTTCCTTTTTTATTTCTTAATCTATCCTTTTTTTTAGTATTTTCTGTAAGAATTACAAAAGGAGCAGACAAACTTACTGTGCAACTTGTTTGTACTTTATCTAGTTATCGGAAAACATTAACATGTATTTTGAAAATGTTCAGAACAAAATGTGCAAACTTTGGGTAAATGATTTTCTTTCCTTTTAAATAAACAGAACGCTTAACATTACACTTATCTCAAATGATCCAGCACATTTTTAGAAGAAAGTGAATCGGTTCCTGGCATCAAACAGGTTAAGAAACATTGCACTACCTGTTCCCAAACAAGATGAGCAGGATTGGCCTACCATATAGTTACTTAAATATTTCTTTAAAACAACAATATGACTTTTTAATGTAGGATTGATCACTATGAACAACCAATTTGGAATACTCACCCAATGAAGAGATCATAACTGCTGGAAGAATTCAGAGGAAAGTACGAGGTTGAAGCAAAACAGTGGTCAAGAAGAACATTGAACCTGAATGGTGTGGAGACGTATGGAAGCTATAAATATGACTTAGATGTACAAGAATTTTCATTGAATATTTATGCATGTAGCTCGACAATGGATGACAATGACAATCGAAAAACAGCTGTCATCAGCCCCATCCTGAAAAAACCTTCCCTGGACCCATTCCTCCTCTCCAGCTACCGCCCCATCTCTAACCTCCCATTCCTCTCCAAGGTCCTGGAACAAGTCATCGCGTCCCAGCTCCGCTCCTTTCTTTCTTGCCATTCCCTCTTTGAACCCCTCCAATCCGGCTTCCGCGCTGCCCACAGCACGGAAACAGCCCCGGTCAAAGTCACTAATGACATTCTGAACATCTGTGATCAGGGTTCCCTCTGCCTCCTTGTCCTCCTCAACATCTCTGCCGCCTTCGACACTGTCGACCACTCCATCCTCATACACGCCTCTCCTCTTTACTTAATCTTCACGGACCTGCACTTGCCTGGTTCGATTCCTATCTCTCTCACCGTCTCCACTTTGTTGTCTCTAATGGTTTCTCCTCCAGCCCCCGCACTGTCATGTCTGGCGTCCCCACGGCTCTGTCTTTGGTCCCCTCCTCTTTAATATCTACATGCTCCCCCTTGGTGACATCATCCTCAGACATGGGGTCAACTTCCACATGTATGCGAATGACACCCAACTCTATCTTTCTGCCTCCACCCTTAACTCCAGGACCACTGCTGTCCTGACAGACTGCCTGTCGGACATCAACTCCTGGATGAGGGCAAATTTCCTACAGTTGAATGTGAACAAGACTGAGGTCCTCCTGATTGGATCGCGCCAGCGCCTCTGCACCTCAGGCTCTGGCAGCATCAACCTCCATGGTTGCACACTACAACTCACCGCCAGTCAGGAACCTGGGTGTCTTGTTCGACCCTCAACTGTCTTTTCTCCCCCACATTCAAGCCATGACCCGCTCTGCCTTCCCTCACCTCCGTAACATCGCCCGACTCTGCCACTACCTCACCTCTCAGGCCACTGAAACTCCTGTTCATGCCTTCATCACCTCCAGGCTCGACTATGCAAACGCCCTGCTTGTTGGCCTTCCCAACTCCTCTCTCCACAGGCTGCAGATAATCCAGAACTCTGCAGCCCGTGTCCTCTCCTGCACCAAACTCTGTGACCCCATCTCCCCCATTCTTGCCCGACTCCATTGGCTCCCTATCCTTCAGAGGATCCAGTTCAAGATCCTGGACCTCACATACAAAGCCCTCCATGGTCTTGCCCCACCCTACCTCTGCGACCTCCTAACCCCCTACCAACCCGCCCGCTCCCTCCGCTCAGCCGGCTCTGTCCTTGCTCCACATCCCCCGACTCACCCGCCCCACCATTGGCAGGAGAGCCTTCAGCCACTCTGCCTCCAACCTCTGGAATTTCACCCCCCAATCACTCCTACTCGCCCCCTCCTTAGCCTCCTTCAAGTCCCGCCTCAAAACCCTCCTCTTCATGCCATTGGTCACCCCCTTTCCCCTCCCCTCCTTTCTCCCTCCCTGACCCCAGCTCGGGTCTGAAATGCTGTGCAATGTCCAGCACCTTGGGACGTTCTCCTGATGTGAAAGGCGCTATACAAATGTAATATTGTTGTTGTTGTTGTTGGATACAGTATCTAGTTAGACAATGGATACAGTATCTAGCTCAGCAATGGATGCAGTATCTAGCTTGACAATGAACCCATGTATCGCTGAGGCATACTGCCCATAAGGCCACATATTAATTTCTTTGGTCTATGCTGATTTCAGCAGGCTGACATCTTGGGTGCTATAATTGCCTTAGCACTCTTAGGATAGGAAGAAAAAAATTACACAGGGATTGCTATCCATTGAGTTCTACTGGAAAATGTGTGCCTATGGTCATTGGGAGGGGAACAACAACAACAACAACTTGGATTTATATAGCGCCCTCCACGCCGGACGGCGTCTCAGAGCACTTAAAGGTTGGTCCATGGTTGAATAGCCTATCAAAATTCACTGCCTGGGCTCGCACATGAAGGATAATAATAATCCTTGCATTTGATAGAGTGCCTTATCACACCGTTCAAACATCTCAAAGCTTTTCACAGGATTAACTGTAAAGAGGATTGACTGGGTATTTTGTGGGGGAAATGCAGCAGCCAGTTTGCGCACAGCAGTTCCTCACAGACAGCCATAGTGTGAGTGACCAATTTTATTTCATGGGATTATTGGCCAGGACACCGGGAGAAACTCCCTTCTCTTTTCCGATAATGCCATGGGATCTTCAACATCCACCTGAACAGTCAGACGGGACCATCCTATCCGAAGGATGGCACTTCCAATAATGCAACACATCCCCAGCACTGCATTGGAGTGTCATCTTATACTGCGTGATTCCACATCCTGACATGGGGTTTGAACCCACAACCTCCTGATTCAGAAGCGAAAGTGCTACCAATGAAGGGCTTTAGGAGAGGAGAACCTGTTAGAAAAACAATTGCCCTCAAAAAAGTATCAAACAGAAGGAAGGGAATTTGCATTTTATTTTTTTTGCTTACCTTTAGATGGCAGTGTACTACCACTTTGTCATCAGATAACACATTCTACTGCCACTCTTTGTCAGTTGGTGTAACTGATATAGATTGTTTATAATAATAATCCTTGCATTTAATATAATGCCTTAACACGTCATTGTTATGTCATTGAGTACTTCACAGAGTATATCGTATTTATGTGGTTTCACAAAACACAAGCCTTTGAGGTAAAGGTTACTGCATTCTCAATTGGTCCATAAATTTATGTAAATTTGAGATTGTAATGGAAATTCTCACTTGAAGCCCAAACTGCCAGGTTTCATAAATTAGCTAAAACAAAACTTGTTTCAAGGTTTCTGATAAACGCACACATTCAACACATTCTATCTTGTCCGAAGCCTCCTTCCACAGGCTTAATATAGCAATGATGGACTGATCCAGCATGACAAGCCACCCAGTGAAGTCTAATTGGAGAAAACAAGTCTGATTCTGGTGATTTTATGATATTGATTATTTGGTTCTCAAAATAAACATTGTAGATCAGAATTGGTAGAAATGATTTCCAATTTCAAAATAGCAAACATCCAAGTTTATAATAATATAAATCTTGGTTTCAGTTTATTCTCTCTGATAGTTTGTGAACTATTCATAAGTCAATCAGAATTCACATGTGGCATTGATAAAGATTATGTTGTTTGACTTATGAAGGAACATGCACGATTCTTTCTATCAATAAAATTGATTTTTTTTTGCATAAGTGCTTGAGAAAGGTCAACATTTCTTACCTATCAGTTAAGTTGGTAGCTTTAACTTCTACATAAATCTTGGTTTTCAAGGCAAGTCCATTATCTGGAATGATCAGAGCATTGGTGTAGTTCGTGTCCTGTTAAAAAAAATCAAGTTTTAACATTTTAGACACGAAAGCTGTGTGGCAATATTTTTCAGATCTAGAATGTGCAATCTTCATTTAATTAAATGCAAGCAAAGGATTTCAATCTACTGTGTGTCAGCCTGGTGCGGTAGTAGCAATCTGGCCTCTGATTCAGAAGGTTGTGGGTTCAAGCCCCACGCTGGGACATAGAATCACATACTCTAAGCTGACCCACCAATGCAGGGCTGGGGGAGGGGATTCGCCAACAAAATACACAGTCAATCCACTTTACAGTGTATCCTGTGAGGTGCCTTGAGACATCTCGTGACTTGATAAGGCGCTTTACCAAATGCAAGGATGACTACTATTACCCTTTTCTCCTTTTATATAACAGACTCCAACTCTTCTGTCATTCTAACACAGACTACTGAATGGCCTGTTTCTGTGCTGTACAGAATCACTCTATGTAGAACTGATCTGAACAAGCAACCTCCAATTCTCCACCACTACCAGAGAAACACTTTACCAGTGACTTTGGCAGAGATCATAGAATAGAGTAGGCTGCCTGCTGACCCTATTGGTCACAATTAATGCCACTGACTCAAATGATTAGTAAATCAAATTTCCAGATTTATCTGCTCAGCATAATAATAATAATCATTGCGTTTGGAATAGTGCCTTTCGCGTATGGAGGACATCTCAAAGCACTTTGAAGTGCTATAGTGACTGTGAATTTTTAGGCGCACATGACAGCTCATTTGCGCACAGCAATGTCCCACAAACAAGGCATGAAGTGAACGACCAATTTTATTTGGGCAGTAGTTGGCTTGGACAACAGGTGAAACTCCCTTCTCTTTTCGAATAGTGGAAGAGAATTCCATGGCTGCGGATGGTATTGCCGAGTGGGAGCATACAGATAGCGAAGAGGAGAGGACGTAAGATACATATGGTATATATATTTCAAACTCTCAATCTGGTTTGGATAATTTTTAAACACTATTATGCATTTCATATGTGTCAAACACCCGCCTGACCAAAAAAACCTTAAACTTCAACAATCGTTATTATAAAATATTGCATAAAATTTAATTTCTACTTCTGTTTTTCTGTACATGTCATCTTGTAGCTAGAGTGGAAAGATATCAGTTGATCAGCTATTGCTTGATGTCTTTGCATTCTAGGCAGATGTGGAGTCCTGTAGCTCAGTGGTTAGAGCACTCGCTTTGCAAGCGAGAGACCTGAGTTCAATTCCAGGCAGTTCAGGGCGAAACCTTGGGCAAGTTTCCTTACTCCACACGCCTAATAATAATACCTCCAAAAAAACAAAACAATAATAAATTGGTCATTTTCAATCTACGACTGTTTGTGGGACATTGCTGTGCGCAATTGGCTGCCGGGTTCGCCCACAAATATACAGTCAATTCACTTTACAGTGTGTTCTGTGAAGCGCTTTGGGACGTCCTCCCGACGTGAAAAGCGCTATATCAAATGCAAGGATTATTATTATTATTATCACTTAGTTACAAGATGATGTATGCCGAAAAACAGCAGTTATTTTTACTATAATGACTAACTAGAGTTCATGGATAATCAGAAAACATACACTGTAAAGACGAAGATTGAGTGTGCTTCTGAAGGTGCCATTATTGTCCTTGATTGCTATGCTTACTCCTGCCCTGTAAATACAATCTCAGAAGTCAGTCAGTGAGAATGTACATCAAAAACATATTGTACCAAGTTCATTTTGTCATCATAGCAATATTTATTATCATACCGGCTACATTTAAGAACTTATTACATTACAGGGAAAAATTGAAATATTCCCAAGCATATTCATTCCATTTCTTCATCACCCCCAGTGTCAAATAAGAAAGGGAATGAATGTGTTTATTTTCTCCCTGTAACTTTGATTGGCAAAAATCAGACTAAATGGATTAGATTTACATCGATATTTAGTCATACCAACTATCTAATTATTTTGAATCTGTTTTTCATTGATAAGTTGAGGTGTTAAAAGGAAAGAAGAAGCAGATTCCATTCGACTAAACAAAAATAATCGATGAACAATAGAGTCCAAAAATAATGTTACAATAAAGCGTTAAAGGTAAAATTACAAATAATGGACAAAAATGATCAGCAAAGAGAGATGCAAGTAAGCGTTTCCTGAAGTAACAAGTCAAATCAGAAACGGTTGCATTTTCTTTTTTTTAAAAAAGAGAATTAAAATAGATTCAGGAGTCCAAGCAAAAAGCAAATTCTTTACTTACACTTCCAGCCTGGTGTTGTTGACAAAGTACTCCAGCGGGTAGTTGCAGGAATACTGATAAACAAGCTCCTGGTTGTATGTTATGGTGCTGGCTGTTGGGTCGTATGAATTGATAATACCACTGATATTGACAGACTCGATGTTGGAGAAATCTTTAAAGATACCTGTTCCTTGGGCACTGGTGATCTGGGGAGAGAAGGAAATGCAGTTATACATCATTTTGAGGAGGAGTTTTCACCCGGGTTCAGATTTACTTTATTAACATAGAATTTTAGAGTGTGCAGAATTTGATAAATTCTTCAATACAGCCCTAAGTTTGAAGTCAGTCTTCTTTAAAGTCTTTTAAAAACTAGAGAAAAGTGTGGTTTACTTTTTGGGGCCCGAGGATATTTTAGAGCTTTTTGAACCCCATTGTAACGTCAAGATATAAGAGCTTGTATATTGAGTCATATTTTTTCCTCCAACAAATTAAGTATACATTGAAAGCAATGCTTTCGCCTGGCCTAAGCTATTTCATATAATTGCAGCACAAATTTAACATACATATGAAAAGGTCAGTGAGGATACCTCTTTCTTCAACCTTACAATATTTACTAACTATCATATGAAATGTAATTGTTTTGAATACAAGAGTGTATTGAATCAGTGTTTGTTTATTTCTATGTGTCAAACCACCAGTAAAATACACAGTCACAGCACTTTACAGTGAATACAGTAAAGCACTTTATCAAAACTAAACATTATTGTTATGAATCACCATGTGAATTTGGTCCCAATACAGAACTAAATTTCATTCAGTTGAGGTTATCTGTACTCGTGACTGACATACCTGCAGATGGCTCCCACAAGAAGTAGCATCGTTGTCATTGATGGAAAATGAAAATCTGAGTAAAGGAGGTGAAACCGTTGCATCAACTGATCCCCTGCAGTCTGTGTTAGAGAACTGGTTGTTCAGAGCTACAAAGCTCTCATTAGACCCAGCAAAATAAAGTGGGCACAAATAGATCGACAGATGTACTTGTTCAGTTCCACAGGTTACTGTGATGTCTTTGTTGTCTGCAAAGAGAAAGTAAATATATTAAGTTTTGAAAAACACAAACTTTCAAACTTTCTCTACAACAACAAAAACAACAACTTGCATTTATATAGCGCCCTTCATGCAGGGTAGCGTCCCGGATTGCTTGACAGTCACAAAGTCTGACCCTGAGCCAGGGAGAGCGGGAGTAGGGAGGTGACCGAAAGCACGATCAAAATGGAAGGTGGGATTTTCAAAGTGGGGAGGGGGCAAGGCAGAGGGTTTGAAGGAGTTCCAGAGTTTTGGGGGTAGTGGCTGAAAGCACGGACACCGATGGTGGATCGGAGGGGACGAGGAACGAACAGGAGGCTGGAGCCGGCCGAGCAGAGGCAGCGGTTGGTGGAATGGGTGGAGGGGTAAGCAAATCGGATAGAGAGGGTGGTGCAAGGGCATGAAGGGATTTGAAAACGAATGAAAGGATCTTGAAGTCGATCCGGTCGGTAATTGGGAGCCAGTGCAGCCTGGCAAGGACTGGTGTGATGGGGGTCTGGAGTTTTGTGCAGGTGAGTATCCGGGCGACAGAGTTTTGAATTAATTGAATTTTGTATCTAGATGGACGTTAGCACTTTTAGGGTATGATGTACCCAATTATTTATGTTAATCTGTATGGAATATTTTGCATTTCAGAAACACTATAATACTATTAACTAGTTTAAAATTGTTGTTGATGTACCTTAGAACTCAACAATACAGTCACTGCACTTTACAAATGTGAGTATTATTATTAATTACATTTAAGATGGTACAAATTTTGAAATATTCTTAAATTTTAATTTAATTTGAAAGCTGGTTTGATGCAGTTCATAAAAAGGAGTCGACTTAAATTAAATTGCAATTAAATTATGGTCCGTAATTATATCTGCAACTACATAATTAGACTCCTGATGTAATAATAATAACAATCCTTGCGTTTGATACAGTGCCTTATCATGTCTTCGAGACGTCGCAAAGCGCTTCACAGAATATACTGTAAAGTGATATTAGGGTTAGGGTTAGAGTGTATTTTGTGGACGAAATGCGACAGCCAATTGTAGACATCTTATGGAATTTGTTAATAATTTACAGACTGATGTCCAGAGTGTCTTTGGAATTTTAAGAGTATATCATGTTGATTCTTCTTGTTTTTATTTGTTTCAGTTCCTTGGGATGTTCCTCCTGATGTGAAAGGCGCCATATAAAAGTAATTTTTAAAATTGTATTATATAATTAGATGAGAAGGTAGGAAAAGAATGCATACTGTCATGAATTGGATTATCAGAGAATGTAGTATGGTTGAGAGCAGAGTAAAAACTTCTGGTTGCAAACAGATGCTTCAGAGTATAAAGATTATCCATTGAATAATATGTTACCTGTTCACATTACGTTTTTTTCAGGCTATGTCTCGTTCTTTATTAATTTGAACTTACCTGGAAGTCGATAGGTTGTGTCACATTCTTGCTCATGAATTGCAATACTGGTGACTTCTTTGAGCATTGTTAGAGCAATCAGTGGATAGATGAGGGAAAACATTTTGTCTACTTCTAGGCCACACACCTGTAAACAAACCACATTATTACACGCTGTCACTTCACCACATAAATAATAGCCTTTTCCTTTCCCCCACCTTGTACAGATATTTACTACTTGCTTATGACTTACTTCATAAATAAACCTATTTACACTTCTCTAGAATCTCAACTAAAACCAAGTAAATGATTTCTTTTTTTCTATAATATACTTTTTCATGGACTGGACTATTGCTGTTGAATCATCTAAAAAATATCACTGGAAACGTCATCCCTGCGATAAAAACCCAAATTATCAGAATCACAAGTGGCACTTTTCTCTAAACCCGCTCCAATATATCAACACTTTAAAGAAAATCAAGTGCCCAAATTTGTGAACATTGAACTGAAAACTGTGATGCACTAGTGACCATCTGTAGACCTATAGTATTGTCACTGTATTTTTTTCAATGTATATGCCAATTATAACTATGTATTAGTGACATTGAAAAAAAAAACTGATAATAACTAACACAATGACTGGTTGCCTGGGTGTGCTGGAGATGTATTTCCCTGGCATTTCTTTCGATAATAGCACCCAGAAATTAGCCGTACATTGTTATCCGATTCATAAATATTAACAACAAAAATTACATTAATATAGCGTCTTTCACGTTGGAAGGACGTCCCAAGGCACTGAACATAAAGGGTTTGCATCTGGACTGGGCGTTGGAATCAAGAGGGTTGGAGGATTGGAGGGTAGGGGGAATGGGGTTGGAGTGTGGCTGAAGGCACGGTCAGAGGAAGGTCTTGAGACGTGTCAATATCAGCATTGAACCGCTTCATTAAGCATTAAAATCAGAGTTAAGACAGAAGTCCAATATGGAACTGAATCCTGGGCGGAATCACTGTAAAGGATATTGAGAGAGAAGGTCCAACTTCAACACACCAGGGGATCTGTCAATGCATCAATTATCATCAGGTCCCTTTTTATAACGGATGTCTTCATTAGTACTGTCGCACATTGCAATTTTCACCATTTTCATCATTTCTATCCAGTTTTCAATAAGAATAACTAAACCCTCTGTTCACATTATAAGGACTAAAAGAAAGAAAACATTTTTGTAGCTCTTATACTTCTTATTCACATTGAAAAATCTCAACACATTTTACAAGTAATTATTGGCGAAAGTAGTCATTTATATCAGCAAGCTCTCAAAACTATGAGGTGAATGATTTAATTAATCTGAAGGATTATACACCAGGAGTCAATTAGTTTTTCAAATAGTGTCTTTATCGGTCACCTGAACAGGCAGATAGATCCTTACCGTGTGCAAAAGTCAGCATCTGTAACAATGCAGCACTTCTTTAGTCCTGCACTGGAGTGCCAACCTAGATTATGAGTTTAAACCCAAACATGGGGCTTGAACCCTTGATTTTCTGATCCAAAGACAAGCATGTTACCAACTGAGCCAAGCTGATACACTGAGCCATTGAGAATACGTCATTGAAATTGTAGTGATTGTTTACCTGAAACTGAAGCATTCATACATGTTTATTCCATTATTAATTTATATATGACTGGGACACTGCTGTGTGCAATTGGATGCTGCATTTCACTCATAAAATACAGTCAATTCACTTTATAGTATATTCTGTGAAGCGCTTTGAGATGTCTAAAAGACATTATGAGGCACTATATCAAATTCAAGGATTATTATTGTCATTAGCGAAAGTCAGAGAAATGTTATTGAATGCCCATCCAGAATAATGAACTGTAAAGTGAACAGTTGTTCCGTGAATCAAGAGAGTATGATATACCTACCCTGTGATAGCTCATATTCTCTTGATACATGGAGTGCAATGCTCCCATTTTACCATGATTTTTAAGAATAATTCAATTATTCAGCAAAATTACCATTTTTCTCCCCCATAAGTCCTGTTTAATTGCATTCGTTCCATTGAAATTGTTTCACCGATACCATGACACCATAGTAATGCGTTAACTGCGAATAACTATGTAATGATAAACGTATTGAGAATGAAACTCAAAGCAAGTGCTACAAGCAGAAAAACATGGATTCAGCATGTTAATGCAAAGCAGTTATGGTCTTGTTAGAGCTGAGATGTAACACTAACACTAGCGGAGATGTAACACTAACAGAGATGTAACACTAACACTAACACATAACACTAGATGTTATGATTTGTTGACCATCATTTATTGTAATATTACATTGGGTATTCTATTCCAATATAGCAACTTCTACATATGCACATATTTCATTTTTCTGCTATGTGTTGATCTGTTTGTACTGTTATTCATTATACTTATTTGAATCATGGTGAATTTCCAATCCAGCAATTTGCAGCTGAATTGAGTTATACTGTGCACAGTCAATTTAGAGTCAATCTAAGACCACACAATATAATAGAATGTCACTTACCAGTCAGCACAGGTCAATCCAAGTTAGAGTGATCTGAGTGAGGATATGCTTCCTCCGTCCAATGAAATATCTGTGTTATAAGTTAGTTCACCTTTCTGTAGCCTGTTACAAGCCTATGGGACTTTTATAATTCTTTTCTCAGAGCTGATTGGATCACACTGACGTCAGAATGTGGCATAGGTTTTCAACATACATTTTAATATAAAAAACTAATGTTTCTTTATTGACAGATAAGAATGTGCCTGAAGCAAAACTTAGAAACTAAATAAGACCCTTGGCTCCTCACACAGATATAATGTTCTCAGCCTTTGTGATATCAATTGAAAGACTAAATATTGGTTTCATTCATAAAACCAATTGTGATGAACAATAGGAGTGAGATTTTCTGAAGTTGAACACCCAAGTGCCATGTGTTAAGGGGGTTGTGGGGGGCGTAGGGAATGATTATTGGTGTCAGCCCGACTAGTAAGGTAGCGCTCTTGCCTCTGATTTAAAAGGTTATAGTTTCAATCTCCATGTTGACATTTTGAACAAACATAGTCTAGGCTGGCACTCCAATGCCGTGTTGCATTTTTGGAGGCACCGTCTTTTGGATAGACAAGGTCCCAGTCTCTATGTTCAGGTGGACTTTGAAGAGCCCATGGCACTACTTGAAAAGAGTTTCTCCTTGTCTTGGCCAACAATCCCCCATGCAAAATTGATCATTTACTTCATGGCTGTTTGTGGTATATTGTATTCATTTATAGCATCAGCAGGAACCTTCCACACCACCTATGACCTTGATTCTAGAAGTCTCTATTTGCAGACAATTGCTGCTACATAATCAATGCTGAATCATTATGTAGCATCATGGAGTCCTGTAGCTCAGTGGTTAGAGCACTCGCTTTGCAAGTGAGAGACCTGAGTTCAATTCCAGGCAGGGCGAAACCTTGGGCAAGTTTCCTTACTCCACACAGAGCCTAATAATAATCCCTCCAAAACCAAAAACAATAATAAATTGGTCATTTTCAATCTACGACTGTTTGTGGGACATTGCTGTGCGCAATTGGCTGCCGCGTTCGCCCACAAATATACAGTCAATTCACTTTACAGTGTGTTCTGTGAAGCGCTTTGGGACGTCCTCCTGACGTGAAAAGCGCTATATCAAATGCAAGGATTATTATTATTATTATAGGGCGAAACGTTGGGCAAGTTTCCTTACCTCACACGTTTCTGTTTATCATTATTAAGTGGGAATCCAGCTGTTAGTCGATTGGCGGATCGCTTTTCAGGTAGTAATAATCCTTTCAAAACAATGAATATATTTTCAAAAATAACAATAATTTGGTCACTCAATCCACATCTGTTTGTGGGACACCGCTGTGTACAATTGGCTTCCCCGTTTCGCGCACAAAATACACAGACAATTCACTTTACAGTATATTCTGTGAAGCACTTTGAGACGTCTTGAAGAGATGATAAGATGTTTTATTAAATGCAAGGATTATCCCCTATTGGGGATTTCCTCCTATCTATTCCCCCTCATATTCTCTACTTTGGAATTACAATTCTCCAAACCAGCCTTTACGGAACATCTGGCCATCTGAATACTTTTTCTCCAACTTTTTTTTAGTTGTGATTGCATGATCTGCTGGAGCCCCCAATTCAGTTGAATTGTACCTCAACATTGGGTCCCTCATTTTTACCCCTGCTGGGTGACTTATCCAACGCTACCTTGTCACTGGTCCTTAAATCTGATGGTGCTGGTGCATCTGTGCGATGCTATAACAGAATGTAGTCCATGGTTCTCCCTCCTCAGTAATTCAATCATTGCATCTTCAGCAGTATTCTTCCAGGACTGGAGGTATCCATTAGCTGTTATCTCCCCTCTGAGATTAAATGCTAGTCTTGTCTAGATGTGTCAAAAATTCTGATGTGTTCAAATGTCAAGTGCATTAACAATATTGCTTATATATCTTATTAATTGCACTTGTCATTTCCTTGAACCCATTAATAACTTTGACCCACTATTTTAGCAATATAAAAGTGCTGCACTATCAACATTACATTGTTATACTTCCACGCACATCAAATGCTGAGTGTAGTGAGACTTCATTCATATTTATTAATATTAACGTGGAAGGAGCTACATAAATGTCATTTTGTTGTTTGAGAGTTAAAATTCAGGTTTAAAATGGATATATTTTAGCACTTCTCTTCCAATCATTATGCTTCTTCCAGACCTCAAGTTTTTGAGGCTGCATTGACACGACAGGTGACATCCTACCAGGATCGCCACTCCCTTAGCAGACCAGTTGGCTTCACAACCATGCTGAAGAAATGCTCCTGTCTCTCAAAGACTTTACTTACCACAGCTTGCTGGGATTGCCATAGAAAATGCAGCGATACTGCTTTGGCAGTGCTCCACGTCTGCCTCAATCTCCCACCATCTTTGCTGATTTATAACTTCGTTTTAAAGCATAAAAATGCTACAATTAAAACTGGTGGGAAAAACATTGCTTATGCTTGCACGTTCTTTCTGTTGATCACAATCTATGGAAAGTTGTAGGTGAACACATAGAGGTAAATTGCAAACCAGAGCTAGCCATACTATGTTGTATTTATTACATTATAATTATAATACATTATAATATATATACATTATAATGTAGATATTGAAATACTACATTTAAATTTAAATTTTGCTTCGGGTCATTTACAATCAGAACATGATGGTGAGGACAAAAAGTTGATGAAAGGCTGATAAAAACTGATTGTGATGATCTGAACATAAATTTGCTATGTAAATTTTCCGTAGCACTTGTAGTTTTTTATTTTCAGCTGCACTATAAACTTATGCTTTTAGGAGTATGGCATTGCTGCAGCTGAAGGTATTTTAATGAGGGTATGATCTGAGATGACCTAAACAGACTATTTTCTTGAGGTATTTGAAAAACTCCATTATAATACAGGATTTATTCATGTGGCAATTTACTATCTCTTCCAACAGTAAAACGATTACGGAACAGAAAACAGCATTGCCAAACCATGCATTCTCAGAACACGACTAACCACAAATGCCCATTTGTTATCTTTATGTTATTACTGCTGCATTTAAAGTAAGGGAACATCATTCTAATTAGAACAGCAATGTGGAACTGGAGGCTCGATTTATATTTCCTACAAAACACTACAGTTTAGGACGAAAAAAGAGAAACACCCTTGCATTTATATAGTGTCCTTCATGTGGAGTAGTGTCACAGGCGGAGCTTTGAATTAATTCAATTTTGTGTGCGGTGGAGCTGTGGAGACCAGCGAGGAGGGTGTTGGAATAGCCCAGCCGAGAATTGACAAAGGTGTGGACGAGGGTTTCGGCTGCTTTGGTTGTGAGGTACGAATGCAGGTGAGCAACGTGGCGGAGGTGGAAAAAAGCTGCCCTGCTCAGGGAATGGATGCGGTGTAGAAAGGAAAGCTGGGGATTGAACCTGACGGCTAAGTTGCGCCTGGGTTTGGAGAGTCTAAGGAAGTTGAGGAGTTCAGACAAGCAGGAGAAAAGACATTGATGGGAGCCAAGGAGTATGGCTTCCGTCATGTTGACATTCAGCTGCAGGAGATGTGCGCCTATCCAGACCTTGATGTCTGCCAGACAAGCTGACAGGACATCAGCAGATTGGGAGATGCAGGTGGAGGAGAAGTAGATTTGGGTGTCATCCACTTACATGTGGAAGTTGACCCCATGTCTGCGGATGACATTGCCGAGAGGGAGCACATAGATAAGAAAAAGAAGGGGGCCAAGGATGGTGTCTTGGAGTACCGAGCAATTGACAGGCTGGGGGCGGGAGGAAATACTATTTGACGAGATGTATTGTTGGCGGTTTGTTAAGAAGGAGTCAAATCATGCGAGTGCAGTCCCACTAAGGTGGATGAGGGAATAGAGGCGGTGGAAGAGGAGAACGATGAGGGCAGGTTTGAGATGTGTCTGACGTTTGTGAGTGTGGAGGGAACGAGGGTAGGTTTTTTAAGGAGAGGAGTGATGACAGCGGATTTGAGGGGGAGTGGGACAGAGCCAGAAGAGAGGGACTGGTTGATTGTATCAGTCAGCAGTGGGCAGAGGAGAGGGAGTTGAATGACCAGAAGCTGGGTGGGGAGGGGGTCAAGGCAGCAGGTGGGGGAAAGGAAGGAGGGAGAGATAGGGGCATCGGATTGTAGGGTGAGGGCCGTGGTAGGAGCCGTCGTAGATGAGGATGATGAAGGAGGCATGGGAGGGGTTGAGGTGATAGGCGACATGGGGGGTGGGGGGTAGGAGGAGAGGAGGAGGAGGAAGCAGCCAGGCGGATGTTATCTATCTTAGAGATAAAGAAATCCAGGACCTCTTCGCACTTGGCATCTAAGGATCGAGGGTGCTTGAGAGGGGTTGTGGAGCAGGTGGTGGGTAGTGGAGAACAGG